AGAGGTATAAATTTTTCAAAAAGGGCCCAATATTCGAATGCACGCTCGTCCACTATAAGTGGAGCTTCGACTCGTTTATGTAGGCCCAGTACGCATAAGGCCTTGCTCACTTCGTTTAATTTTTCCTGACTTCCACGCTTCCTTTCAATAGAGTTATGATCTTAAATGCTTAGTATCGCCCACTGCGGGGAGGCTCCGCCCACCGCCGGTGAGTTTCCTTTACTTGTTAACCATCCCTCACTTTCGCTCATTTTCCCAGCATTATGTAATCTAATTCAGACAATTTTTCCCGACAACATGAACTCAGACATTCTACCCAGGACACCGCCCAATGTCCTGCTTGCCCCTGTGCGCGGAGCTCCGCTGAGCTCTCATGAACTCTGCTGGTCTTGTCCTTTGCTCAACCAAATCCGAACTTGACGCGACTTCTACAAGTCTTCTTCAGGTAGTATCGAATTCCCAAACAAGCAGACAGAAAGAAAAGAGCACTTTACATATAGTATGGATCATATAAAGATGAGCTTGTGACACAGTGCGCGTATGAAGCGTGAAAAAAAAACAGAAAGTTCGTCATAACGTTGCATAGATCACGCCACGCGCTCCTTCGAATTACTCCACTTCTGTGAAAGCTAATCTACTCTGTGAGGAGAGGAAGCATTAAAAGACAGGGTCGATTTCGCGTTGGAATAGACTCGTACAGTTGAAATATTTATTTATTTATTTATTTTTAATTATTTATTTATTTAACAAATATGTATGACATATATGTATATACATATATTTGAGAATTTATTTTGTTACCGAACGGCACGTCTCTCTCCCCGCACCCGATCGCGCGCAGTGAGGAGGACATTTTACTTCCAAACGCTAGTTAAGAGTAATTTCAGTGGTGCTTTCGCCGCTTGCCATGGAATCTCGGGTACAACATCACCCAATATTTCGCTTAGCGAATCGTAGAGCTGAAGGTCTCCGAGTCATTAGCTCAAACTTTGGTAAAACTTCGACCGAATTGCAGTGGGAACAGTACCTTCCAAAGCTAAATCGTAAGAACCTTCCTTGGCGTCAATCATGCACCACCGAATGCTATTCAGTGAGGGAGGGCAAGCGAGCAGAAAATGGGTGTGTTGTTTTGCAATTGCACGGCGTGCTCGACGCACCCGATCGAACGCCGTTGAGGTGACTGAAGGGTGAGATTTGAATCTCTGAGGAATGATCAAGGTACTCGCTGCGGATAACACGAAACAGACGAGGGGCTCAGTTTTGGGAGCATAGTTCATTCTATAGTCGCTAAAGTAAAAAAAAACATGGAGGCTATCATTCTTTCTCAAGAGTTTTTCAAATTCCTAATGATATCACTCACATCAAGAGCACGAGAACCCCGTTCCTCTTCGAGAACAGCAATCCCCACGAGGAATCTATCAGTGTATTGGTAAGTTGCGCGAAGCTTGAGACCATACCAAAGGAGAAACCTTGATCCATGACGAAGTACGCCGCAATAATCTCGCAAAAACAATGAGTTGTGCATCCTGTGGACCGGCTCATTAGAATGCGACGGAAAATCCCTACAAAGGTTGGAAAGTGTCGAAAAAATCGACTCATTGATTTTGCCGCGAATTGATGCCATATTCTCAATAAGACTCTCAGGGAGAGGTATTGAGTGGAAAGACGATGTCGGCTGTAGATGCACTCATCCACAGTCTCCACCTTAGAAATGAACGATGGAGACTGAACAGAACCGATTAATCATTTTCACATTGTACTGGGTAAGAACATCCTGGCACATCCTAGAGCGGATTCCGGGCCCTCTATCCTCGCAGACCAATCAGCTCCTTTGAGCGCTCGAGCGCTCACCTCATGTGCATGCAATTACTTCCCGGATGATACTCGAGTGCATTGCGCAATCTTAAAAGGAGCATTTTGAATATCTTAGGGTATCTGTTTATAAAGCTGACGGGATGGTTCGACGAGACTTAACCTCCTGGAATACTCCGACCTGAACTGGCTCATGTAGAAAAGACGAATTCGCGTGAATTTGCGAGTTCTAACGACGTGTACTGTAGTTGGGCTTGAGTTAAATCTGTTCCGCTGTAGTCAGGTGCTCGAATTATGATTCACAACTCACCTTCACTGAATTACAAGACCCATAGATTGCTAATATAAACGATAAGAAGGATGCGCCAGCATAGGAGATATTTCGTCAGCTGTAAAACTGATTTCTGGAGCATACTCCTGTTCATATTTTCTTTGAATTTTGCAGAACTATTTCATCGAAAAAGGTATGTAAAAAGAAAGGTGGGCCCGGAAAAAGGACGTTCTGTCACATGACAGTTATAGTCCAGCATAACAATTCAAAAGAGCGCACTGCCGAGAACTTATCTTCTCAACGAAATGTAGGCTGAACGACTGATTTCAAGTTGTGCGACCTTAAATAGACATAAACAGCGTAATAATTCAATTCAAAAGATTCAATTCAAGTAGTACAATAATTCAAAATAGCGCATCATCGCATCTAAAATAGCATTACATCGGCAAACATCATCACTGAAAAATCACTTCGTCTTGAAACATTTGAAAAATAGTCCCTGTTATGCAATGCGATGTGGCCGTCGCAGGATTAAATTATCTTCAACGCTGTTTGCTTCATTCCGTTGCGGGATCCTTCTCAAGTGCTAAGGCATTTTCCTATCAAATACCAGGCTGAGATGAATAGCCATTTTAACCACTTCAGGATGTTCAGATAAATTACCATGTTTGCGCTGCTTCAGATCCCCTTTGAGCGATTTTTTGGGCACAACCATACTGAAATCGGTCTTGCAGGTGTGGTTTCATCGGCGCTTTGGACATGGTTTTACCATCGAGGGCGAACTTAATGCCGCCTTTCCTAGATATGCCACTAAGAAATGTTACTTCCGCCGAGGTGCACGCACTACTCATTTCTACTACAATGATTAGAAAATTTAAGTGAAGGTGCTGGTCTTGCTTTCATTCACGGAAGCTGTTCAAAGCACACTCGCTCGTCTAGTCATCACCATTATTGAGGAGCAATCTCGCTACGACTTTGCCATGCCATTTGCATGTGTTTCATAATTTCTAAAAAAGGGCGATAGCGATGCATGTTATAAATAACGGTTTTTCGTACCTATTTAAGTTCACACATCTCAGAACTGGTCTCACAATCCAATTACTCAGCTCGCTCTCTCTAGTGCGACTTTCCGAAGAAGCGCACAGCCTAGTAAATCATACGAAGGACAATATTCTCGATCTAGACCGTACTAACTTCTACGAACTGCAACGAATTTTTCTGGAACACAGATAGAACCGAACGACGTATTCCGTATTCGTATTCGATGAAGAAGGCGTTTCAGCATCTCGCATTAGCAGCATTTCATCTTCCTGGAGGACTTCCCACCCAATTTCATTGAGAAATTCTTCTGCGATCTCCTATGAACTTTATAGGCTCAGCCTGTGACGCTCAACTCTGTGATCCCACCACTGATTTACTCCACAAAAAGAAAATTAGCGATGTTGCGACGTGCGCTTGTTCTTCGTATTCTGCATACCCAGGAGAGCCTGCGTTGACCATAACCCTGCTTTCATGGCCTCAACCATCCCGCGCCTAACTCTAGGCCTAACGCTGGACTTTTATAGGCCCCGAAAGCATCGACGCTAATGAGTCACAGCCTTGCGCTTTCTTTCCTTTCATTCCTCTAGCTGCTGCGACCGTAATTT